CAGGGAGGGGATTGTTGGGGTGGGGGGGTGAGTTGAGGGAGTGAGGCTTGGGGGTTTGAGCTTTTCTTATCTACCTCTTTTCTATTCTCTTCAGAATGTATGATTGTTTTGTTGATGTGTTTATCTTTATTTTGATATTACCGTTTTAGGCATTACGCACATCAATGACGTCCTTTTCCTCCCTCGCCTCTGAAAACTCAATCCGTTTGGATTTCATCATCTCTACACTGTATTAGCTAGCTATTCTGATATACACATAGATAAACATACTTCCACCCCGCGGAAATACTCAATTCATGCACTCAAATCTCACTCACCGTGGTAAAAAATCATCCCATCAAGCCCTCATCAAATCAACCATCTACCAGTAACCGCACTCTATATTCCTTTCATATACAAATTAACAAGGGCTACCAAAGAAATTATATTATTATGGGATGAACTCTCCTCGTAAACCTCTAGCTTCACCTATATTTACCGTTTCCAAAAATAGGAATTTCGATATATATACGACGAACTCGGAACTGGGATCATATTCTGAGGTCAAATTGGGATCGGGATTGGGATGAAGGGCACAGATATCAATGTGTTTCGCGCGGGGAATATAGAATACCCTCTGCAAAATCTGAAATACCATGCTCAAGGAAGTGTTTTTCTTGTTTGTTTTTTTGGATTGTTCTCTAATACCTAGGCGGAAAGAAGAGCATTATTCTTAAATTACCGAGTTGGAAAAGAACCTCAAAGTGAACCCGCCATGTTGGACTGGCTATCCCGGAGTATCTTGTCTCCCTTTGCCTGTATATGCTTAATAACACCTCGAAATGCAACCCGTTGAATTTCCACTTTAGCCCACCCAAACGCCGCTTATGCCATTGATCCTCTCGAGCGGAAATTTTTCGATACGGAACTCTCATACGTCCTCGAATTTCATATCGACGTCATCATCATCCTCATCGTCCATTTCAGCGTCCTCTGCTGGCGCTACCGTATCAGCAATCTCTGAGTAGTTCTCTTGTCTATTCTCTGGCTTCAATCCCCAATTCGTGGCGAATGGACCACTCTTGTGGAGAATTGCAATCCGATCCAGAGTTTCACGAAGATAGGCTTCTGGTTGTTGGAGCTCTTGACGTAAAGCCTTCATGGGCCAATACCTATGCCGACTGAAGCAACTGAAAAGTCTGTCCAGAAGTTCGTTTTGAGGCATACGAGCAGTCTTTTGAAGTTGTGATTTCTTGCCAGCCACTGGACCACTTGTTTTCTATCATTTATGTTAGTATGATGAGCACGATCAGACAAGTTGGTTAGACGAACGATGAAAGTGCCCCATTTTTGGCCTGCCGCAACTGTCCCTGGTTGGATGAAACCAGTGGGCATATCGTTGAGGTCCTGGTCTGCAATATACATGGTTGAGACCTTGGGCTGCATGGCTTCAATGGTTCGTTGGGCAAGCAAACGTTCTGATTCTTCATTTTCCACCGCGACACAGTTTACCTCATGAGCAACTCTTCCAGTAAGAGTAGTACGTTCTATATGTCAAAGTCAGCCAAGCAGCTCAAACCCACTGCCTGCAAATACTAACTCGGTATGGCTTTTCTATAATATGGCTGGAATCTCTTGTTGGGGTCGTATGGTGTCTTTGCCTTTTCGCTATTCTTCTTTGCCATACTAAGTCTACCGGGCATATTCGCGCTGGCGAGGTCAAACTTTTGCTTGGACTTGGATTTGAAGCCAGGGAGGTCTTGTTCGGTGAAGACAAAGGTATTCTTGACATGCTCCTCCGTCACATCCAGTAAATATTCCTTTGGGACCATCTGGTGCTCGACAATTTCGGATGAGAGTAGCATCGAGAGGGATGTTTGCTGATTATAGTAAGTTTATTTGCATATTGAAAGGCCGGATGGGCGCTTACTTTCTCCACGCCATTCGCATCTGTCTCGAAAGACTGCCTGATTGTGCCAATTCTGATCTCCTCATTGTCGTCGAGTTTGGACCACGCTTCCCAAACGTATTTCGGTACGCGCGCAAGGTAGAGTCGCTGGTACTTGTCATCATTGTTGAACTCGAGGTCACCAGCATCTTCGTAGATATCTTCCTCGCTGAGGGCAGCGGGCGATGCGCCAGGCGCATCAGGATCGGGTTTGATGAGGAGGTCCGACATGGTTGTGGCGGTTTATGACTATGGAAAGATTGCCATCCAGACTTTTGACTATATCGGGGTGTTCTTGGAGGGGCGGGGTGGTGTCGAGGGGGCACTTCGTTGTCTGGTGTCTGGTTGAATTATGACGGGGTTTTTGGCGCCCTTTGAGTGAATGTGAACGTGAATATGAATGCTTGACGGGTCGAGTGTAACCTGCACCAGCCTCAGAGCTTAATCGCAGTGAAGGCGCAGGGGTATGAGCACATTCCCCACCAGTAAGGCGTTAGCGTCCCACCCCAAATTCTGGCAGCCGCCGCAGCATTACAAAAGCAACCTACTGCGCGCAACCTCAACTTCAACCTCAACTTTCCCGCAACCCTACCAAATTATCTGATCCGCACGTCTTGGATGATTACTTGATCTCAACACCAACACCAATATACTACTAACTAGTACCACGCAGAACATTCCACAGCCATCATGGCTTCAGAAGATCAAGATATCCTTGCGAGAATTAGCCAGCTCGCAGGTGAGCCCGCCACCCCCTCTGTTTGCGAGTCCCAGCTAATCTTCCAAAAAGGTAAAATCAATCGGCATAAAAACGACCAAACACCAGACTCTCCAGGGCGCCCCATGCTACCCCAGAGAAGTAATAGATACTTAAGTGAGAACCTCGCCCTCAGAATCGCAATCACCACAACTGATAAAGCTCGAGGTTACCCCCAAGCAAACACAGGATGGAGACCAGGTCGAGGAGGTCATTCATCGAGAGGCTATCGAGGTGGAAAACCGCCGGCGGTCCATAGAAATCGTACCCTCGTCCTCAATTCTGGGTCATCGACCCCTCCAACCCTGGAGGCGAATGATATGGATATCCAAAATGCTGCCAGTTTCACCTCAAATACCGCCAGTACTGGTCCTTCCTGGGTCACGAAACAGGATCGACATCTTCAACTCATCAACACATCTATTTTTGAAAAGGATAGCCAAGTCAGAGCTAAGGCTATGGAGGAAACACGAAAGCAGAAGATTATGGAACGCGACGCGCGAGAAAAGGCAAAGCTAAGTAGGCATCTGCATCGTGTCGCTGCAGGCCCTCATAGTGGTGCCGGTGCTTATCCTCGCTCTGCTTCTGCTCCTTCGACGTATGAGATCAATATTCAAGGAATACAATTTCGTGTTGCAAAGAACGGCAGCAAATTACTAAAGACCCCTGGTGAGAGATTGCCCTCGGTGATGGCTTATAGAGGAGATAAGTTTTCTGTGCCAGTTTGGAGCTTACCGTGCGAAGGCGACCTCAATGCCGCCAAAGCCACCCCAAAGTCTGCATTTGTTGGCGGAGTTAAATTTCATCGAAGCAAAAACGGCAATATGTATCGTTCTGCAATCATCAAGGCTCACCGGTACGAACACCCGTCAACCGCTTTATCACCGAGGCCAAGACCGCGGAGTAGTACTAATCCTTTCAATTTTAGGAGAACTGCCGTCGTCAAGAAGATCAATGAACCATGCAAGATGTTCACTACTACGGGTACCTCCATTTCTTTAGTCCTTTGGTTATCGTAATATAAGTAGACGGGTAAGGGACTTGGTTTTCAGCTGACAATCAACTTATGTAGGTTCGTGTTCCAAAGGTCCCAGATGTCGGTACAATCACGATCCTTCCAAAACTGCAGTCTGCAAAGAAATTCTTTTGAAGGGGGTATGTCCAAGTGGAGAGGCTTGTGATTTATCACATGAATTGACCCCTGAGCGAACACCTGCTTGCTTGCATTTTGCCAAAGGAAATTGCTCTAACCCAAATTGTCGTTATACTCATGTCCGAGTCTCCCCTAATGCACATGTCTGCCGATCTTTCGGAATTTACGGATATTGTGACAAGGGAACTGGATGTGAGGAACGTCATGTTCATGAATGCCCCGATTTCAGCAACACAGGCACATGTACTACGAAGGGATGCAAGCTTCCCCATCGATACAAGGCGAGCGTCATGCGCGGTAATACAAATCGTGGGGAAGCTTCAGGGGAGGATGGAAGCAGCGATTTATCGAGTGATGACGACGAAGACGCAATCGATAGCGACGACGTTGATTCCGATGAATTTGAGGAGTTTTGGGGTGATGAGGATGGACCAGATGTTGATGCCATGCAGCAAGACTATGTCCAATTGGCATAAATCACTAACCACGGAGCATTTTCTTTACCTTTAACGGTGTTGATACCCGAGACAGTATATCTTAGGTAGCCGGATTGCGCATATACGCCATCAGATTCTTTGTTTTTTGTTTTTCCATGAATGATTGCTATCCTACCGGATTGGAAGGAATCACAGTTTACTCCGTCGCAAGGGTTTGCTTGGTGTTTATGGTGATATTTGGAGGAAATACCCCAGCATCGGAGCTTGCAAGGCTCGATGGCAAGATGAAGGAGAGAGAGAAGAAGAAGAAAAAAAAGGGGAAGAATAGACCAGAATTATTAATAGATAAGATTTTCACAAAATTCGTGGCTCGGTTCTCTGAATAATGTCCTAGAATTATTTTTCATTTTCTTACGTTTTATTTTATCTAACCCTCTTCTCTACTCCACTTCTTTACTATTTTGTTAATTTTATTTTATTTCTAGTATACTTGTCGGTAAAAGTGAATACCACTCGAGGCCACTCACGTGCAACCTTGGCACTGAGTACCACTATATAATAGTGGTGGCACTTGTAATACCTTTACTCGGTGTATAAAACTACCGTAAGAACTCAACAGTAAGGTCCAAAGTATAGCCGGGGGGGGTGCTAGGGGGATTTTTGACCTTGGCTACACCAAAAACGCCCTCGGAACGCCCTTGCTACTCCTTTTCAAGCGGCTTTCAATTTCGAAATTAGTATCTCAGCACTCGGAGTATACTTAAATAGGAAGTGAAAGTGGATTTTGAAGAGATCTAGTATTTAGTCGGGGCCCTTTTATGGCACTTGCGGCATGATTTTCATGGTGATTAACAACCCCCCGGCTACACTTTGGACCTTACTGTTGAGTTCTTACGGTAATAGTCTTTATAATACGAATAACAATACTAAACTATTAGCCTTATATTAACACTTTCCTTATTATCTTTCGGCTCTATTAACTTAGAGTTAAACTAATAATATATTTTCTTTTACTAGATAATGTTTTTAGTCTAAAAGGAATAAAAGACTTTAGCTCTAATAACTATAATATTATATATAGTATAGTTTTCTTATTTTTGTATTATATAAATAGAAATTACTTTACTAGAATAGGAATTCCCTTCGAACGATACTTGATTTAAATTAATTTAAATAAGCTACCGAACTAAGCGAATAGACTTTTCGTAGGTTTTATAATTCCTGGGATACGCTATCGAAAACCGCTATTCTATTTAAGTTATAGTAAGCCGAACGGGCCGTTTTTAGGTAAATAGATCTTCATTCGGAACGATATAATGTTTAATAAGAATATAACTTTTCTAAGCATAGTACAGTTTTGTATCCGCAACTATGCTTTTGAGATTCAAATGACAACTTTCCGAATCCATATAATATCATCCAGCAACTCGACCAGTACAGTACGGTAGAATCAACAAAGCCACTTCTTCCCTCGAAGCTTTAAACAGCTGACAAATCTTCGTCCAAGGGTCCGCCTTCATCTCGCCCTTGTCACTTAGACAATGTTCATCGCCCTGCACGGCTGGGTCATCTACCCATCCGCAATCGGTGCACACTTCCGGTGGCGCGTTGTTTGCATACGCGCCGCACGCACTCTTTCCCGCGTCGATGTCGGGGATGATGTCGCCGTTTTTTTCGTCATTGACTCAGTATCCTCTGTTTGCTGCGAGGATGCTGGTGGTGAGTGTGAGTATGAGGGTGAGGATGGAGAGGGCGGAGAAATGCATTTTGGGGTGTTGGATGGTGGGGTGTTGTTGGGGAGAGGAGAGGAGTTTGGAGATGTTGCTGGGAGGAAGAGGATATGTGAGTTGGATGAGGATATTGTAGATGTGAGGAAGCTTGTTGGAAAAAGTGCAGAAGTGCACTTGATTTCAACTAGAATACACAGGAATGTACACCTTTTATAGACAAGAATACCTCATACTACGATTTAGCTAGGACGAGGGTAAAGATAAGTCCCCGTATAGTTATAAGTTAATCTATCGAATAATGACGAAATTCGATATAGTTCATGCAACGGAACTTGACAGGCACGTATTATACTCCATCTAAGGCGAAAAATAAATATAACTTTTCTAGGGTAGTTAGGCCGAGTTACCGGGTAGAATCTTATGGAAAAGCTATATTTGTTTCGAGTAGGAGGAAGTAGGCGGCCTACCGTAGAAGGGAGTTAATAGATAAATATATATTTATATTACTTATAGTATTACTAAAGTATCCCGAAGTTTCGTACTATAACTACTACGAGTACCGGAAGGAAATTAGATATAAATAAAAGTCTAATATATTATAAAGTATAAGATAAATAAGATATAAGTTAGCTATACAATAGAAATTATATATTTAGCAAAGGATTATAATAAGTTCTACTAGTCTCGAAAAACGTCTAGAATCTAACTATTTACATATAAAACTATTAATTACTTTCCTTCTAATTCTTTCTTTACTTAGAAATATATATAATAAGTTATCGTAAGATCTTCTAATACTTATTTATTCTTATATTTACCATCTTCTATTATAAACTATATACTATAAGCGATATATTAGTATAAATATAATATATTCTATCTTATTTTATTTTTCTTTAAAAAAAATACCTCTTCTAAATACTAAAATATCTTCTTTTATTTCCTTTAGTTTCTTTACTTTCTCTTTTTCTATTCTTAATTATACCCTACCTACGTCGCTTAATAAAGATAGGGTCTAACTAATTTACACTTTAAATTTTTATAAGATTTATTAACTTTACTTAGTTTAAAAGAGAAATATATTAATAGTAAAAGTAAGTTAAAAGAAGTAAAAGGTATGTTAGTATCTTAGTATAATGTTTTACTAAGAAGGAAGGAGGCGTAAACCTTCGCTTAATAAAAATAGGGTCTAACTAATTTATACTTCAACTATTTTATAAAACTTATTGACTTTACTTAGTTTAAAAGAGAAATATATTAATAGTAAAAGTAAGTTGGAAGAAGAAAGAGTTATTTTAGTATCTTAGTAGGGTGTTTTAATAAGGATGAGGAGGAAGGAGGGATAAGGGAATAGTATTTAGTATAGAGGAAAGGCTAGAGTTAGGTGGGCGGAGGAGGGAGTAGTAGCGGGACGGGATAGGAGGAGGAGGTGGATCACGTGAGGGAGTGTGCTAATTAGAAGGGTTTAAAGAGGTTCGGGTCTATAAGTAGTACTAAAATAAAATAACTTTATCCTTCCTTCCCTCCTTCCCTTCCTTCCATCCTCCAAACCTCCTAACCTACCCCATACATATATCAACAAAATACATCTATCTCTTTTCCAATTTTTTTTTCCCTCAAAAAACCCAGAAAATTATCTGACTCAGAAGAATCCGTTATCCTTTCTTTTACAAAAAAACCCAAAACGTACGTTCTTGCTCAAGGGGTATGCTTCCTAGACGTGTTTCATGATTCCTGTTCGATGGGTAAGTGATTAGATTGGAAGACAAGGGAAGACGGGGAAAGGGAATTTGTCGTCGTCACCGCCACATGGCTGGCTGGTGGGTGGGCCGCTTGTACATGTAGGAGGTACATGTAGGAGGTACATGTAGGTGGGAAAATGGAAAATTTGGATGGATGGATGAAGAGGATATGAATAGAATAGATTGGAATGGAATGGAATGGAAGGAAATGAGATATTAGGGCGGTATGTACACCGCTACTAATAGCTACAGATATCACCGACCGACCGCTTTATGTATAATGTTGGATGGGACCAAGGAATTTATCTTTGGGGTTTTTGTGGGAATGGTTTTGAAGAATGAGGAATGATTAGATTAGATTAGATTATTCTTAGTGCGGTGATTGTTTGTAAGTATAGTTTTATCTATCTATCTATCTATCCGATTCTTCCGATTCTTCCGCGGATAGATCATCTACTATAGGATTAGGCCAAGATTATCGTTTCCATTTCCATTTCCATTTCTTATCTTTTGTTTAAACTTTACTTTACTTTACTTTAGTTGATACTATAACGCGGGGAAGTATCATACAGTACAGTACATATGGGAAGTCTCACGATGAAGTGATTCACTTTTGTTAGGGTAGGGTTTCTAGGTTTCTCAGTTTCTGGGGAGATAGGATAGGATAGGATAAGATAGGTTAGGACGAACACGAATGCGACCTAAGAAAGACCTTACCTTGCATAACCAAAAAAAATGGAATGGATGGTCAAAATGCCAATTGAGAAATGCAGGTTTCCCGCGACGAGCGACGGATGCCCGCTTGTCTGCAGGATGGATGCATTTTCTAAACTCAACATTTTGGCTTGAGTTGATGGATGGAACGACTTGTGGGACGCATGGGAAGATCGACGGATTATGGCATGGAGACCATTCCTATTTTTTTTTTTGAGTGGTTCTTTTTTGGCGTCGTTTGCCGCTTCTTGCTGGTGTGGTTGATATCAGTATTATTTTTGAATTTTTTGAATTTTTGATAAGTTTTTCTGTTGAAGTTGTGTTGGAGGATGGAGACCTTTTTTCTGCAACGCAACACCAATACCAACGGACAGATAGATGGAAAGATTGTGGATTACAAGGCCGTTCGTTGTATAGAGTTGGTGTTGGTTAGTGTCATACCAGGGGAAAGCAGTAGAGCCACCAACCCGCAGTTGTTGTGAGGTGACAATCCAATTGTTTGGTCCCGGGCCAGGCGACGTAAAAAAAAAAAATCGGTCTTGACTCTTCTCGGATGTTTGTTTGTTTGCTTGGTGCTTGTACGTATGGTGTTTTCCTCGCTATCGCTCTTTGGGGTTTGGGCCTTTCTAGACGCCCCCTTCATACTCCCGAAATAGCTTCTGGCGGTGAGTTTGACAGTTTCTTATGAAGATTGGCAGGTTCACTTGGGTTAGGTTAGATTGGATTTGATTTGATTTGGTTAGGTGGGCTGTACGGTACGAACGGGGCGTCTGAGCTGAGAGGGGTGAAGTGAAGCGAAGCGTGATGGAGGGGAAAGTCACAGAGGATTCCGTATGGGTACTCGTAGTTAGTTTGGTGGATCGTGGAGGTGGGCGGTGATCGTTTGGAAGCTTGCGTGGGCGTTTGATGTTTACGAATGTGGTTCGCATCTCCATGTTTACTCCGTTACCTCCCCTTCCAATTTGCCGTGGTACTAGTCCCAATGGCCAGCCCAGCCACTCCGCCAAACTCGATGAGGAAGAGATGCCATACCGCTACGATACGGAAAATCCTTTCCTTTCCCATTCGGGGATTCCCCACTTGGTGAGTCGAAAATGTTCCGGTTTGCACCGTTGCAGGGTTCACCGCTCTTGTGGAGGATTTTTCTTGTTACGAAGTATTTTCTTGAAATTTCGTCAATCTCGATAATTTTGGACGCGTTTATGGAAGGAGATGGGAGGGAGAGGGTTGTGATTATGGGGCCGGTCGGCTATGCTATCCGGGCGTCTGTGGTCCATGGTCTGCCGATGTCCTTGGTAAAATTTACAATGCCCCCCTCATCTGAAGTTTGGACAGGTTAGCGCAGGCCATGGTCCATGGAGGGATTGGATGGATGACTCTCGCTCTCGCTCGTTTGGGAAAACTCTACAAAATCACCTTATGGCCGTAGTAGATGAGAGGAGCGGCTGGGAGAAGGAGAAAAAAAAGTCAATCAGATTCGATGCCGTCATAGACGCAATGGCGAAAGCGAAATCGAGGTGAGGAACTTGATCGGAGTGTTCTTCATGCGCCCATTATTATAATTGATATGATTATCACAGCGGTAGCCTGTCCATGGCACTCACTGGGCTGACAGGATGCATTTTTGGCGGGTGGCTCTGCGTGCTCGGAAAATAAATGATCCTGATCACCCTGCCCTCGGTAAAAATCAGACGCGCTAAAGTTTATATCTGGTCCAATTAAGCTCATCAAACTGGGGTAAACGAGTCCCATCAGGTGGTTCCGTCGCCTTTCTCCCGCCGCCTAGTGTCGAGGAGTCTCCAGCGGTCTCCAGCAAGTGGGAGACGAGAGAATGAAAAATTGGGGGGCACGGAGATCAGCTCATACCTTGATACAGAGGTAGTATCTGGTGGTATCTACTGTAGGTAGTATCTACAGAGCACTTTTACCTATGGCAGTATTGCAGTACCTATGGCGGTTTGCAGTATCACCATAGCATCAGGTTATCGCCAGGGCACTATCTCTAGGTATGGCACTTCTGGCACTACGGAGTACCTTGATAAGGGCAAAAACGGCGCATTGTCATGGTACTGGTACCGACATACCGTATGTCATCGCAGTCTCCGGTTATCATATCAAACATGTCGAGGATCCGGTGCAGGTGCAGGTGATGGTGTTGTGCTCGCAAAGACCAAAACCCGTACCGGCGTTGGGCACCACAGAGTTTCTTGTGTTGCTGCTTCAACCGACCCGTCACCTATCAGATAGGGCTCCATGTTTTCCTCGAGATGAATGGCAGCTGCTCTCTCTGGCTCTGGCTCCAGGCTCATGGGAATCGATGTTGGGGGTTGGGTTGGTTCGGGGAACATGACGGCATTCCCAGGTGTCCATTCATCCTTTCTTGTTCATCACTCATTTATCCAGTCCAGCCATGCCGTCTCCCATCACCACATAACCTCCTGCTCCGAGCTGCTCCCTGTTCCTGGCCCGCGGTCTCTGCTCTGCTCTGCCCTGCTCTGGCCATCCATCCCAAAAATCCGATCAAACGCCGCCTGATCGCGACAGTGACGGGTTCGGCGCCAGAGGCAAATCAGAGCGAAAGGCTATTCCTGGCGTGCAAAGCCGCGTGACAAGGCCAAGGCAAGAGGAGCGCCATCCGGAGAAAATACTGATACGAGTACTCTCTCTGGTTGCTCTCATCGCTCTGGTCGTAGGTAGACACCAGCGTACGTACGAGGCAGCGGCACTAGCATACTGCGCAGTACCTGTAGTACAGCACAGCACTGACTGTCTGCACCGTTTCCGTACAGTAGTCTCCGTAGTCTCCGTCCTCTACACTAACCTTTACAGTACTGCATCTCAACTGCACGGCAGTGCCCTAATCAAGCGAGCGTGTTACACTGTTGGTGGTCTCTCCACGAGGACGGTGGAGGGACAGTGGAGGGACAGTGGAGGGACAGTGGAGGGACAGTGGAGGGACGGTGGAGGGACGGTGGAGGGACGGTGGAGTGCTGGTGGATTGCCTCACTGTCCAACGATTGGCGTTGGGCGTGCTGGGCTCCAGCTTGGGCAACGAGCTGCTTCGAGCTTCTGGGGCTTCCAGAAGGGTCAGCCTATCGCTCACGATAGAAAGGCAGTTCTGGAGCTTGACGCCAATGAGAAGGCGGGGGGTAGGGGTAGAGGCAGGGGTAAGATGCGCAAGCAGGCCTGTCCCCGGACCTTTTTCATGCACCGGAACTGTGGACAACCAGTCGGCGGCAGTGATTTGAGCAAGCATGGGAACCCCATCGATGCCCAACCTGACGCTCTCAAATAGAGGGGAGCCAGAGGGGAGCCAGAGGGGGGGTGAGAGGAGAGGGGAGGAGGGGAGTGGAGGGGAGTCGTTCCTTGACAGGTTCATCTCTACCAACTACGAAGTACTTTGTATGGTTCATGGAGGGGTTCTTGAGGTTTTGCACGACGCTAGAGAATGAAGAGGGTGTGAAGCGACCCTCCTCGGATTCTCTACTGGTGGCATCGTGGTGAGAACTGCCGTGCTGTGAGAGGCTGCTGCTGACGGACTGACCAACGCCATTTGGTTCATCTGAACCAGATGAACCAGAGGCCTGGTGATGAAGTGGTGATGTGAGGTACTCGTATACTGTAGGCCTTGATATTCTCGCGGCCTGAACTAAAGGGGGGAGAGGCAGTCGTTCGCTAACCAGACTCGCTTGCATCCGCACCCGCCTTGATTTCGTGCTTTTGGAAAACTCGTTGGGAGTACATGGCGCATGCCCACGAGCACGGCGGGCACTACGCAGTCGCAGTCGCAGTACGCATCACGCAGTACAACACTTACACAGAGACGCTGCAGAGTATCTGCCGCTTGATGCGTCTGAGACGGAGACAGGCTGCCTCTCGCGGCCCTTTGCTCCAGCGTGCCTCTCGCAACTTGACACTGTTGATAGGCCGCTTCTTGGGCCACGGCCGTGGAGCGAGCAGGTGTGAGCAGGTGTGAGCAGGTGTGAGCAGGTGTTCTCTGAGATAGCCACGGTACCCGATGGCACGCCGTTGATTTGCTGATTTGCTCGAGAAAGTGCTTGTTTTGACCACTGCCCACTCTCGTCCTCGCTGCCCCGATGGCTCAGTCTTGGTCTTTGCCTTTGCCTTTGCCTTTGCCTTTGCCTTTGCTATCGTATGAGCAGCAGCGTGAGCAGATACCAAGCACCGTGTAGAGTCGCATAGAGCAGCAGAGCGCAGCATCCTTCTCCGGCATCCGATTCCCATTCGACTCGAAAAGCTGCCAAGTGGGACGGATAAGGAGAACAAGGAGAAGATGGTCAGACAAATAACTGAATTAGAGGCAAATGAGAGGTTGATGGCCGTCTCAAGGTCAACCAAGTATCAACCGATTCGAGCCCACTTTTCTGCCTTCCCACTCTCCCCCAATGACCCCCCTCTGCCCCCCTTTCAGTCTTGGTTGCTACCGAGTGCCCCTGTCTGCCAACCCCGTCACGCATCAATCCTCTCTCCCCCTCCCCCTCCCACTCCCCACCTGCCTCTCTTCCGCTCCCACCGCCAGGAATGCAGGAGGCTTGTGGGATGGGATAAGAACCAGGAGGGCCCGTTCCCCGATCCGCTTGTTCTCACTTCATAGAACGTATTGTCTGTTTTTGTACCTACCACCAACGGTACTTCTTTACCAACACACCACCGTTTGTCTGTCTTCTTTGCCGGAAAGACATTGACATTGACGACCTTTGCCATTACACAAAATTCCCGTAAAGCAAAAAAATTGAAATCACTCGCTCTCCCCCGCCGGTGATTCCTACGCTATTTTTTCCCACTTAAAAACCAACTTCATCGCCTCACTCACCGCCATCCTGTTCTCGCTTCTTCCCCTCCAACCACCCAACAAAATTCTATCATGGCAGCTACTTATTCAATGCACAACTTCTATCGGCCCTCATCACTGACCGTCGATACACACGCGCCACAAACCTACTTCGAGGAGGACGAAGGCAGTATTCTAGACGAGAACATCCTCGATCAAAGTGCATTAGACTCAGGACTGGAAATGTCACCGCCCATGGCCGGCAGTAGGAGAGATTCGTTTGCCGTCTCTTCATCATTGTTCTCCCCAAAGACAGATGAATGGCAACATGTAGACATGCAGCATCAGCAGCACCAGCCCATGTCGTCGAACAACCCATTTGTTGAGCACAGCAACAATCCCTTCATGCGCATCGACGCACAATCAGGTTACGGACAACCAAATCACGGGTGGGCCATGAACAACAACTCGGGCATGTCGACGCCCATGCATGGTCATGATGGAATTCCTGCTGAGTTCGAGGTTAACCAACCCATCTTCCAAAGACCAATGCAAACTCCCTTCAGCAACTCTGGAGTTCAACCACTTCCACTATTCTCATCCGGCAACACCAGCAATGGCTCGATACCAACCTCCCCTCAAAAGGAATGGTCTATAGCAGACAACATGGATAACCGCATGCCAAAACGCATGAGACCTCACAGCCCAACTCTCCGATCTCATCCAGAAATGTCGAGGAGAGGTGATGGTATCCGAAAAAAGAACGCTCGGTTTGACATCCCAGCTGAGCGAAATCTTACCAACATCGACCAACTCATCGCCCAATCGACGGATGAGCAAGAGATCAAAGAGCTGAAGCAACAGAAGAGACTGTTGAGAAATCGACAGGCTGCGTACGTATAATCATTCTCATTTTTCTCTCTCAATCTCAAATAACTAACTCATCTCAGTCTTGACTCACGTCAACGCAAGAAGCAACACACTGAGCGCTTAGAGGACGAGAAGAAGCACTACACTGGTCTCATCAACGACCTTGAGGAGGAGTTGGCCGAAGCAAAACTTGCTCTCGACGACTTTGCCCGCAAGGAGCAACAGTACCAACAGTACATTGAGAACATGCATATGGAAAAGGAAGAGATGGTCAGCAACCACACTATTGAGACCGGCGAGCTACGAAAAAAGGTCAGCGTTCTCACTGAACATGTTCAACGCCTTGAGAGCAACGCCATGTCTACTGTCCCAAGTTCAAATGGGTTCTCCACCGATTACGCCGACATTGACAGTCTGGCTATGGATGGTGCATGGGACAACATCTCCTTCCTCAATGACTTCTCTAGTGAAGGCGATGTCAAGGTCGAGAACAATGCCCTCGTTCCTCTCAAGAAGACCGAGAACACTCTTCTTAGTGAACCCGAGAAACCCGCTGCTCAAGGTCTCCTTCTCATGCTCCTCCTCGTTGGTGCTTTCGTTGCATCCAAGGGATCATCCCCAGCTATTCCTCAATTGTCCGACGATGTTCGTGCTGCTTCCACCACTCTTCTCGAAGATATCTTCAACGATGCCGGGGTGTCACAAACTAGTACTGGTGTTTCTGCTATGGCTCCTATGACCTCCACTGCCGCCAACACCTGGTCAACATCCATGTCATCGATGGGTGGTACCGAAATGCTCGGCGTCACTCCTTCAGCTCTTGGGGACCTCGCCGATTCTCTCTCTCAACCAACCGAGGAGCAGAACAACGAACAAATCTTCTCCTTGTCGGCAGCTCAGTACAACGGCCTCAACTCGCATGACTTCCTCCAGAATACTCCTCAGCCATCAACCTCGCAAGGACGACGAAATCTCGGCGAAACTTTAGCTGCCATGCGAAGTAACAGCAAAAAATCGGCGGCTGAGGTTTATACGCGGTCATTACTCTGGGATCAAGTACCAAGTGAGGTGGTTCGCAATTTCGCAAAGATGGTCTCGCTCTCGGATCAGCATGAGGAGGGTCACACCACTCCAGTGGGTTGAAACAATTTACCCGCCTGGGCGTGGTCACTCCAACACACAACATATACTCTATTCATAACGGACATAATTTCCGTCTTCCATGACCAGTCACGAATAACGGCTTATCATTTGGGCATCAGAGAGAAACATATCCCCCAGCTCACGCAACTTATCTAACAGCTTTTCTTAATTTTTATTTTGTCAAGTCATATCTAGCAAGCGAGCGAGCGAGCGTTGTTTTGTTTTTTTGACTTTTGCACTGTTTTCATTTTTCATCTCAACAGCATTGATTTCATTCCATAGCATAGGGTGGGAAGGGAAGGAAAGGGACACGACATAACCATCAGGGGAAACGGGAATCAACAGCGCAAGCTGACAGCATTCAAATTTTTCTTATTCGTCACGCAACAAACCGTTGCAAACAAACTGGTCCTTGGGCACAGACAGGAACATCATTTGATCACGATATCATGATGACTCTGGAATATCGGACAGGGGATCGGTCGGAACCGGATATGGGATCGGGAGGGCAAACAAATTGGGATCATTAACATGTAAATTGAACACAGTGTTTTTTCTTTCTTTGGCTTGGGAGGATTCGAGTTAGGAGACGAGATTGTTGGGGGGGGG